GACAAAATAGACTTCAAACCAAAAATAGACAGATAGGAAGAGCTTTTTTTTTTTTTTTTGAGACAGGGTTTCTCCGTAGCAAGGAAGAGCTCTTCATTCTAGTCAATAGAACAGTCCATCATGAGGACACTATAGCTGGGCATAGTGGCACACCCCTTAAATCCAAGTACTCAGGAGGCAGAGGCAAGCAGTTCTGTATGAGTTGGAGGCTAACTTGGTCTACACAGAGAGACTCTGTCTCAAAAAAGAGAACATTATAAATTCTGTCCCCTGTCTATGTCTCTTTCTATATGTCTCTGCATATATGTACGTACACACACACACACACACACACACACACACACACACATTTATGTGCGTATATGTGCCTACATACAACTAGATGTAAAGCCACAGAGTAACCCTAATACGGTGACAGTGGGTGACTTCAGTACCTCACCCTCACCAGCAGACAGGTCATTTGGACAAAAAGTAAACAGAGAAACCTGAGTTAAGTGCCATCATAAATGCAGTGAATGGATGTATCGGAGGTTCACAGAACATTTCCCCCAAACTGATCACATATTGGGGCACAAAGCAAATCTCAACAAGTGTGTGAAAACTGAAATAACATCCTGTATTTTATCTGACTGAAATGGGATAAAGCTAGGTATCAACAGCAATGGAAAGTACAAATTCTCATAGAAACTAAATAATATACTATTGGATGATAATGGATCACTGATGAAATCAAGAAGGAAATTAAAATTTCTTCAGAGTGAAAATGTAGAAACAAGTTATCAAAATCTAGGGACACAAAAAGAGTTCCTACGGGGAGAGTTCACAGTGGTAAATGTCGGCGTCAAAATGCTGAGAACTCTTAAGTTAACTGATAGGCTTTAAAGCTTTAGAACCCCAAGAATAGAGGGGAAGAAATAATAAAAGGCAGAGCAGAAATCAATAAAACAGAAACAATTTTTTTTGTTTTTGTTTTTCGAGACAGGGTTTCTCTGTGGTTTTGGAGCCTCTCCTGGAACTAGCTCTTGTAGACCAGGCTGGTCTCGAACTCACAGAGATCTGCCTGCCTCTGCCTCCCGAGTTCTGGGATTAAAGGCGTGCGCCACCACCGCCCGGCTAACAGAAACAATTTTAAAAAATACAAGAAACCAATGAAATGAAGAGGGGGATTCTTTGAAAAGATACATAAAATTGACAAAATCTTTTAAAAATTAACAAAGAGAAGATCCAAACTAATATACCTGAAAAGATGAAAAAGAAGGTATTAGAACAGATACCAATGAAATTCAGAAAATCATGGGGATATACCCTAAGAGCCTATACTCCTTTTTTCTTTCTTCTTCCCCACCCCCTTTTTTGAGATAGGATCTCTTTATGTAGCCCTGAACTCAACAGAGATCTGCCTTCTGAGTGCTGAGATTATGCCATCATGCCCGGCATCTTCCAAACTTTTGTGAATCCAGTATTATGGTGACATTAAAATCAGGTAAATATAATAGACACACACAAAAATTAGACTGTTCTTGGGCTGGAGAGATGGCTTAGCAGTTAAGAGCACTGCCTGCTCTTCCACGGTTCTGAGTTTAATTCCCAACAACCACATGGTGGCTCACAACCATCTTTAATGAGATCTGGTGCCTTCTTCTGGCATATAGGCATACACGCAGCCAGAACACTATACATAATAAATCTTAAAAAAAATTAGACTGTTCTCCCTAATGAATGTACATACAAAATCCTCAATAAAATTGAATTCAACTGAATTCAGCATCATACTGAAAAGCATTTATCATAACTATTTTTACTATTCCAATTATGCAAGGATAATACAGCATACCCAAATCAATAAATGTAATTCATATCATAAGCGGACCAAAAACAAACAAAAAAAAACCCCAGAAGTCACATGATAAACATAGAAAAAGCCTTTGACAATACCCAACATCCTTTTGAGATCAGAGTCATGAAAAGGCTAGATAAGACAAGGCAGGAGAATACCTCAATATAATAAAGACTATATACAACATATTTACAGCCACCATCATACTAAATAGAGAAAAACTCAAAGCATCACGTACAAGAGTCCTACCTACCATCTTCCTTCCACTTCTATTCCATACAGTGGTTGAAGACTTAGAATAATACAGAAGGGATGCCACTAGGATAAGAAGGAGTATCTCCTTTTGCAGATGATGTTATACATAAGAGGTTCTAAAGAATCTATCAAATTCTTTGAGTTGATAACTATGTTCAGCAAAGTGACACACACAACCTGGGCATAAATTAACCAAGGAAATTGAAGACCTTTATAATGAAAGTTTTCAGACACAAAAGAAATAAATTAAGAAATACACTAGAAGATAAAAATACACCCCCATACTCATGGATCAGAAAAATGACCACTCTACTTAAAGGTTCAAAAATTTATATGGAGGAACAAACCAGAGATAGCCAAAACAATCCTGAATGAAAAGAACAGTGCAGAAGGTATCACATCTGATTTCAAATTCCATAGAGCAGTATTAATAAAAAAAGCATGATGCTGGCACAAAAACACAGAGTCGAGGACCCAGATGTAAGTCCATGCAGCTACAGTTAACCTGAATTTTTACAAAGATACCAAAAATATACATCAGAAAAAAGCACCTTAAAAATGATGCCAGGCAAAGTGGCAAAGACAGAAATGAAACTAGATCCTTCTCTCCCACCATACACAAAACTCAACTCCAAATGGATCAAAAACCTCAGCATACAACCGGATAGTCGGAAAGTGCTAGGGAAAAACAGAGCACGTGCTTTATACGCATTGAATAAGACTCCTATCTCACAGGAAATATAACCAGCAACTGACAAATGAGATCTCATCAAACTAAAGAAACTGAAGGGTAAACAGATGGCCTACAGAATGGGAGGAAACCTTTGCCAGCTATTCATTCAAGAGGTTTAATGTGTAGAATATATAAAGATCTAAAAAAGCAAAACATGGTTGGGTGTGGTGTCAGAGGCTAATCCAGAACTTACTTTTAACCCCAGAACTTGGGAGGCAGAGGCAGACAGATCTCGAGTCCATGGTCAGTCTGGCCTACGTAGTAGTAAACTCCTGGACAGCCAGGGCTACGTGGTGAGACACATCTAAAAGAAAAAAACAAACCAACCAACCAACCAACCAACCCACAAACCTTAAATTAAAAACTAAAACCCAAATAAAAAATGGTCTGTGGAAGTAAACAGTTTCCAACAATTTTGGATTATCTTCAGGACTGGCGATAATGCTCTGATTTAGTTCTTGCCTTGCATGCATGAGATCTTCCATTCCCAGTGCATGTGTATATATGTATGCCTGTGTGAACCATTTAGGCTACCAATTCAGGTTCTTTTTAATCCCTTACCTTTCCCAGAACTCCACTTTCACAAATACTGTAGTAAACTGCAGGTCACTTCTTTCACTCTCTAGTTTTCCTCTTGGCCACCCACTTTCAAACTGTTTGTACACAAGCCATAAATTCTTCACTTTCTTCTGTGGGTAGCTCCACCTTTCCATCTCTCGTATGTTTTTCTTTACAAGTTTCATTTGAAACCTGTTTGACTTTAATTTTTTTTCTTCCTTCACAGTGTTTCAATTTATGCTATTATATGTATATTCAGGTTTTAACTGACCCTCCCCTCATTCTTTTTGAGACAGAATCTTTGTACAAACCCTAGCTGTCCTCCAACTCATTATGTAGGCCAGGCTGGCCTTGGCTTAGAGATCCACCTGTTTCTGCCTCCAGAGTGCTGGGATTAAAGGTGTATGCCACTTATACATGATATCGTAACCTTTTGCCTGCAAACTCATCTACCCCTTCTGGGTTTCAAAGACTAGCACCATTCCCTTAGCTGCCTCCTACCATATTCCCTGCCATCACAGTCATAGGCTCTCACCCTCTTAACACTGAGAGCCCTGAGTTAAACACTGTTTGCCAAATTATCTTGGTCATGGTGTCTTATGACAATAGAAAAGCAACTAACAGTATATAAAGTTAAATGAAAAAAAAACTCCCAGTTAATGTTTCTTTCCAGCTGTTACCTTCAGATTTATATTGAAAAAAGGACACAGTGAAACATGAAGCTCCCATGGAGCCTGCCCACAGGCTCTGGCAGGAAGTCTTCAGCCTCCCTGGGCCAATGTTCACTTTGGGCTTTGGTTCCCCATCTAGAAATGGAATGACCACTCTGCTGAGTTACAGGCATCCTAGCAGCAGAAACCCAGAGTTGTCTTCATGATTCCCTCACTACCTATTCTCCCCTCTCCATCAACCGGGTCCAGAAGCTTCTATCTTCTACCTTTTGTTCCTCAAACTGTCAAGTTATAAACCCTTGATGACAGGGCCAAAGAAACTTTGAAGTTTCCAGGGAAACAGGAAGTTCATTCCTGGCGGTGAATGGCATATGGCTAGGAAGTGTGGGGAACTGGCTTGCGGCATATCACTGTGGATCTTTAAGTGCTCAAGAGCTGAGGGCTGAGTTCTGAGTGTCTCTGGGCCCCAACATGGTACCTGCAGTTGGGGCACCCAGGTTTTCCCATCACCATTATAGTGTCAACAGTTCCTGCTGATGCTATAACCGGAAACTCTGGGTTCTTCTTGGTAGGTGGTTTGGCTCCAATGGAAGAAGTGGAGGGCCAGAGGTAGTGTTTGGTCTCCCCTTGAAGGCAAGCCCAATGCTAGTTCTCTAGCCACTTCTTCAACCAGGAGACAATGCCAGTATCCCTGGGGATAGAACCAGAATCTTTGTCCTTTCAAGAACACTGTTCATGCAAGGTCACTGCCCTGCATGCTTTTTCTTTGTTGAACTATCCCAGGAACACAGGGATGTGCTGCTCTCTCACCTGGAAAAGAAAAGAAGGCAACCTATTCCACACCTCCTCTGAGTACTGATTTCTTTCCTCTTCTCTGGTGCGAAATCTTCAGAAGGCTAGGACCTACTGTTCCCTCCCTCCCACAACTAGCTTCCACCAGCTTGTTATTGTTACCCTAGGCCTCAGGTAATTCATCTGGGCACTGGAAAAGTATGAGTCATGTAGTATGCTGAGGTAAGTAAAAGCTAAACAACAACCCAGAGGCAACTGTGTGAGCTGTTAACTCCTGAAGGGACAAAGATGGGACTAATAACTAAGCCTTTCAGTTTTTAATACCATTTACTTTGTTCCTAATTTAAAGCCAATTAAGCGTCCCTAATTCATTATTTTACTAGAGACCACAATCCCTTCTCTTCCCAAAATGTGGACAGGCACCTGCATACAAGGCCATAGGTAACCCTCTGTTCTACAAAGGCTGTTTCCACTAAGTCCCAGTGACCTGAGTATAACCCACCACCCCATCTTGAAGCTTCCTGGTACTTTTTGCCATGAGCTTGTGAAGCCTAATCATTTGGTTGGCTGTTGTTTCCTGATGACTGCTCTGTTCTGGTACCAGTGACAACTTCGTGTTCAGAAGACAACTGAGGGCACCAGGAACTCTGAAACCTAGGGACATCAGAAAGTGACTTTGGTGGTGGTCTTGGCTCTCTGGAAACAAGTATCACCCATTTGTTACCTCCCACCACACCCATCATCCCTAGCAGAAAGCAACCAGACTGGGTCTCCTGCTGTACTAATGTATTCCATCTTTCAAAAAGAAAGACATGATTTTAATATTACTTAACAATATGTTAAAAAAGTAGCCAGGCAGGCCTCCGTGTTAATACGGTTGTACGCTCTAGAACAGACTTGATGGTGTGAGTACTGGGTGGGTTTCTTGTTTTTAACGTTCTCATTCTGCAAGGGGTCTTACACAAGCTGGCTACAAGTCAGGGGGTCAAACACAAACAGCGCAACGTGTACACTCGGAAACAGTAGATTGTGAAAGAGTACAAAGGAGGCCTGCCCGCCCAGCCCGCCTTGGGTGGGACACAGGGCACATGGGAGCTGAGGGATGGCTGACACCCTGGCGGGGACAGATAACAGGACAGGGCGAGATGCAGAGGCGACAGAGCCACGTAGATGATGCAAACTCGTCTCTGGCCACGGCCCAGGCCTCTGAAGCCGTGGTTGTGGAGGAATTGGCGGGAACTACTGTTCCATTCCGACAGCACAGAGCTACAATCAAAGAAGTCTCACTCACAGACTACACGCACACAAGCTAACAACGCAGGTCGAGCAGCAAGTTCTCGGTCTGGGGGTCTCAGGCCACGGCATCCCGCCCTACACACCATGGGTGGGTACCGAAGCTCTGGGGAGCCACTGAAAGGCTTGGCTCTTGAGTGGCGCAGCCCAGCTGCCTCTCATATATCCCTCTCCAAGCAGTCCTCATTCAGTGGGCAGCAAAGGTGGCTTTCTTCAAGCTAAAGTTGGACCAGTTGATGGACAGTCTTTGTCGGTTCTGTCTAGCAGAGTCCAAGCAGAACCTGGCAAAACAAAATGGCAAATTGTCACAAGACAGAGCCTACACCCAGTCTGGCAACCACCACACCAACCTCTGACTCTTGTGGCATTTCAGTGCAAAGGTTCAGTGAGATTTGAGGGCAAAAGTCTCTGTGCTTGGAGGATTGGTCCCACCTTCAGGACACTGCCCAAATGGCTTGTGTATTTTCTGGTGCTTTCTGTTATTTGATACTGTGTCCAGGGAAGAGGCAAGATAGCATAAGAAAAGCAGCACTTAGTGTAGAAAGACAACAGTGTACCAAGCACCATTGAAGGGCTCAAGGAAAGCTCTTCTGATGTGACCATACAAGAGCAGCTGACATCAGTCACTATTCTGCCTGAAAAAAGGGCTAAGGAGCTTCTACTTCCCTACCCAGAGGCTCTTAGTGACTGATGTAGATTCTGATGCTCTGTCTAAGCAACTAGCTAAGTCATAGCCTGTTGCCCAGCAGGAGGTTGGAACTGTTGGGCAGCATCAGGCCAGAAGACACCACACAAGAGGCAGGACCACAGGCAAGTCCTGCAAGTAGGTCTTCCTGTGATACAGACCTCATATCTTAGTTAACAGCAATGACTTACTCAAAACAACAAATATGTTCCAGGTAAGAAGCCACCAGCTGGCTCAGCCTCCACAGCAGCCATGAGCTTCAGGAAGTAAGGCACTTTGTGGTCACTGTGGCTGGGCATGCCGGAGAGTCACTAGCAGAAGCCCACTAGAGATGCTAGGAAGAGCAGGCTGCTAAGCTTAAATGAGGTTGCCAGGAGCCAACACAAAACTTCTGTAACTGAGCAGAAAGTGCTACAAGCTTTGTAGGTCCTATAGTCTATGGCAATCTGGCACTACGCTCCAATGACACACAGGGAACCATGGCCACACAGACTCAGCAGATTCCTTCGATGTTCATGTAAAATAACATTTAGAATGAAATCCAAAGTCTGTATAATTTTTGTGTGTCTGAAACATTTGTTCCCCAACTGCTTTAGTGTGCACATTCTTTTAGTCATATAGGACCAAGGGCAGGCTGAGCATGACCCATAGTCTGCATCAAGTGTATTGAATCAAAGGCAACAGTTAAACCCATGTGTAAAGTTGAGGTTTTAGCCTGTCTTAAACATATTCATGCCAGGCGGTGGTGGCGCACGCCTTTAATCCCAGCACTCGGGAAGCAGAGGCAGGCGGATCTCTGTGAGTTCGAGGCCAGCCTGGTCTACAAGAGCTAGTTCCAGGACAGGAACCAAAAAGCTACGGAGAAACCCTATCTCGAAAATTCAAAAAACAAAACAACAACAACAAAAAAACAAACCATATTCATAAAATAAGAACTACTATGAGACAAATTACAATATTCTGGCCTTCTACTCCATCTAAGGTGGCATGTCCTCTATATAGGAAGGCCTTCAGGCTTGAACCACCTGCCAGTTCTATGCTCTAAGCCACAAACACTGGAAGCTAAATAGCTTCTGAAAACAATCACCCTCTGGAGATGGAAAGACAGCCCAGTGATTAAGGTGTAACCACTCTTCCAGAGGACCAACATTTGGTTCTTAATACCCATTCTGGATAGTTCACAACTTCTTGTAACTCCAGCTCCAGGGCATCTGATATGCTCTTCTATCCTCTGAGGTCATTCCCACAGATGCCCTCAGAGGATATAAATCCTTTGAGAATTTTTATTTATAAAAAAATTAAAAATAAATATTTAAAAAAAGATTACCCTTTACCCTGTTTCTCAGGCAAAGATGGTCAATTTGTATATTAATGATGGAAAAAGTATTTTCTTTGTTTAAAGACTCTTACATAATTTCTCATTCTCACTATTACAGCTCTGATTTGGGGAGCAGAAATAATGAAACCTAAAATGATGGTTTTCAGGTGGTTTGAATGTTTATGTTTAAACTGTGGTCCAATCATTCATCCAGATAACCTTGGCTATCCAGTTATGTGTTGCACATTTTGTGGCCTCTGTTAACGTAAGTAAAAAACAAGTCTCTGCCAGGGAAGGGTTGTGCCATCTCAGCTCTGGAATTTAAACTTTTTCTTCTTTTAAGATTAAAACAAATCTTTAAAAAAAAATACCAAAAGCTTATCAGAAGCTCAGGAGCATACAACACAAGGTGCTTCCCAAAAGACCCCCAGGCACAGCAAGTGAATAGCTCCATCCACATTAGACCAATCATGTTTGTTGTCACTGGACCCCATTCTGCATGCACCACACACACAGATAACTAGGATGCAGAAAGCCCCAGTGAATGCACCAAGGAAGCCCTTGATGCCTTGATATTTGAGAGTGAGGCCTCTTCATACCTGGCAGCTCTAGGAATTCCATATGCATACTCAGCAGTTGTCTGGCTGTGCTGTTTGAGCATCTGCACGCTGAATCATACTGAGTGTGTTATTTTTTTTTTAACCTTATTGTTTGTTCTAGTCAATGTTATGGCTGAGATTACTCCTCAAGGCAAGTCTGTTCAGCTGTCTGACTGTCAAGTCTTACAGAGAATAGGCAGATGGCATTACACAAGCGCTTCTTGCTACCTTCTCTGCTACATGGAAGGTATTTCACTCATATAGGTCCTATCAAACTGCTCCCGGGAACTGTTAAGAGCTGTGAGGCCCTGCCTCAACTCTCAAACCCCTGCAGAGCCTGCCTTGTGTTTTCTGCCCACACATACACCGTGGGATTGTGTTGGCTTCTAATTGGTTTGTTCCAATGTTCTATAATCTTCCCTTTAAAGTTTGTTTTAAATCAGCATACTGATGGGTTTTCCTCTGGAATCTTCACGGGTGTATTAACTACTTTGCTCATCTTTAGTTTCTTCTGTCTTCCTTCAAATGACATTGTTTCATTACTCTTCATAAATCCTGGCTCTAACCTGCATAATGTTCTGGCAAATATTATTTTCTCTCACTTTCTTTAAAAGAAATCCTTGCTACTGAAGTAGTATCATTTACCAGACTCTTATTTTTATCTTATTTTGAGATGGGAGCTAGCTTTGCTGCCCAGACTTAAGTCAAGTGAGTGCCCTACCTCAATCTCCTAGAAGAAGGAACTGCAGGTACAAACCTCTGCACCCAGGTTATGGCTCAAATATAAGAAGCCTTCCCCTGTTCTGATTTCAGAAACATTTATTTTCTTCCAAATGAAAATTTTGCATGGAATTAGTACAGAGAAGCAAATCCAGGTTTCTCGCTATTATACCTGTTATCTTGGTCAAAAGCTGGCTTTTGACAATAAAATCTTAACCCCTGGGCTGGAGAGATGGCTCAGTGGTTTTAAGAGCAATGGTTGCTCTTCCAGAGAACCCGGGTTCTATTCTCAGCATCCACATGGCAGCTCACAACTATCTGTAATTCCAGACATCTTTATACCAATATATAATATACCTTATACCAATGCACATAAAATAAAGTTTTATATACATACATATTTACACAACACAATGTGTGTTAAAAGAGTGGTGGTGGCACATGCCTTAATCCTAGCACTCAGGAGGCAGAGGCAGGTGGATCTCTGAGAATCAACAGAGTGAGTTATAGAATAGCCAGAGCTACACAGGGAAACCCTGTCTCATTAAAAACAACAAACAAACAAACAAACAAACTGACCTAACAACAGAATGGTGTGGAATGGATACCCAATTCAATTTCCCTTTTTCCTTTTGGATGAACAGCTTCACAGCCCCATCTATAAAGACCTTCATTTCTAAAGTACTCTACCAATCCATCTTCTGTCACACCCTAAGTCTAGTGCTTCCATGAAGCTGTTTCTGGGCTTCTTCTGTATGGCCATCAAATGTCTTAATGGAAGGCTTATACAACTTTACACTGGGAAAGCAGGCTCCCTTGATCTTATTCTTCTGGAAAAGTATAAACAAACCACACCTTTTTTTTTTTTTTGTGAAATGTAGCAAAATGAATGACTGGAACACATAATGATGCTAGGATGCAGAAGCCCTACCCACAGCCCCAATGCAGTCCCTGCAGTCCTGACAACCAACCCCCAATATTTCTTTGGCCTCAGTCCTTCCTTCTTCTCTCAGAAATATTTTTGCTTTTCACAGCAGTAACTTCCTCCTTGTGTGTCTTTTTTACATGCATACATGTCCTGTGAACATTTCTTTTTTTTTTTTTAAGATTTATTTTATTGTGTATACAACATTCTGCCTCCAAGTATGCCCACATGCCAGAAGAGGGTGCCAGATCTCATTAAAGATGGTTGTGAGCCACCATGTGGTTACTGGGAATTGAACTCATGACCTCTGGGAGAGCAGCCAGTGCTCTTAACCACTGAGCCATCTCTCCAGCACCGAACATTTTATTTCTTCAGTGAGGGTCACATATTAGCCTTCAATTCACCATGTATCTGACAATGACCTTGAATTCTGGTCATTCTGTCTCTACATCTCAAGTGCTGGGATTATAGGTATGCATATCTTTCACATCTGGTTTTATGCAGTGCTGGGGACTGAATCCAGGGTATTCTACAAAATGAGTTACATTCCCTATACCCAACTATTAAAAAACTTACTTTATTGATCTATGATTCATGAAAAGCACATGGCCAGCAAGTATGGAACTTATTAGTACCAACACATGGCTCTATCCTTGTGGGTCACCTCAGTCAGGACACAGTGCCACACCTTTTCCTGCCCTGTACTGCCAAGACTTACCTTGCCTCAGCACCAAGAAATAGTGATGAAGGTCTGTCAGTGGATGAATGCACATGTAATCTGGCACCATGTGTCTTATGCTAGCCTAGTCACTTTGTACACTGCTGTGGAAAACTTTTCTTGGTGCTGCACTGCAGACAGCTGCTCTTAATGGGCAGTGGAATTCTTCTAGAGGGACATAAAGCTTTTGGTGATTACAAACAAAATGAACAGGACAGCATGTGTGTGAAGCCACATGGGCTGGCAACCATTTCTCAGGCCTAGAAGCAGAGCTGTGTTTCTGGTGGCACATTACACTAAGCACTCCTATTCTGTT